TTTAGTTAGCTTAAATAGCAACATATTTGATGCCGATCCACTCAAAAAGAATTCTAGAATTGTTTTGATTTGCATGATCATTTTCTTGATGTGTGGAGGACCATACTTGCTTGCTTGATGTTGAAATTTTGGGAGATTGCTTGGAAATGGTTGAAAATTTGCATACTTGAAAAAGTTTTCTCCCAATGCTTGTTTGCAATATTGGTGCCTCTTTTGTGAGAATGAGCTTAATGTTTGTGGGTATCATTTCTGGAAACTCTCACGAGACTTCACTCGTCCACTAGGGGTAACCTAGGGCTTTAAAAAGCTTGTTGCATGTGCTAAATACAATTGTGTTCCCTATGAAAGTGGCGTTATCCATTTATTACTTTTTAGTTCATACTTGTATAGTCGTTCATTTCATTCCTTTACTTCATAGTTCATTACTAGGGACTAGCAATATTTAAGTTTGGGGATGTGATGAGCGCTAAAAAATGTGTATTTAAACCCCTTAAGCTTAGGTATTCTAGGACCTTTATCTATCTTACTTTTCCGTTTTAGACTAATTTCGTGTTATTACCCTTTTCAGGCGGTTATCCCCAAAATAAGTTAATTCAGCCAAATAAGAACCTAAAAGAAGCAATCTTAAGTTAAATGGAAGAAAAGAACAAAGTGGAAGCAGAATGAAGCAAAGTGTGGAAAATCAACAAGTTCGATCGATCCAACATTCCTTCGATAGATCAGAGAAAGATCGATCTAAACATTTCAAGATGGATCCAAGCCTTTGTCCTTATCCAAAAGATCTCATCATCTTCGATCGATCCAACCTTTCTTCGATCCATTGAAAATATTTGATCCTATCCTCACCTACCACCTCACCTACCACTTTTGCCTCTTTCCCAAAATATCTCAGAGATTTGTCTTTATTCAAAAAGGCGCTGCCAAGAATGATCGATCTCTGTAGTATTCGATGGATCTCAGCAATGTTCGATCGATCTCAAGACAGTTCGATCGATCGAACCTCCTCAAGTTTGAAAAAAAATAAGTTCCAGCTCATTAAAAGTTGGCTCATGGTGCAATCAATTCAAGGACCATAATGCACGAATCCAGACCATTGGGTGTGACACTTAAACCTCCTATATAAGGATTTTGAGCCTCTTTTACATCATATACCATCATAACTCATAGGAAACAATATATCTCATATCTTGGAGAGGGGGAGCTTTTACACATCTTTGGGAGTTCTTCCATTCTTCTAGGATTTCCATCAAGAATGAGGTCATTTCTACCATGGAGATAGCCCTTGAGGGTTGGAGGACTACTTCAATGAGTGGCTAAACATCTTCATAGGGCTAGAGTTAGCCCTAAGCATTCATTCTAGACTCTAATGCTTTGTATTTTGAGGGGATTTGTGTTGTAATCTTGTCTTGACATTTATTTTATATATGAATCTTGTTTATTCAATGATTTATGCAGTTTAATACTTCTAATTGATCATTTCATTCTATCCATATGTTTATGTATACTAGAATAGATGTTCATATGTTTATCTCTAGTTTTTGTGTTATTGATGCATATCTATGTGTGTTGATACTATGGATCTAGAGATTGTCAAAGCATAGTGCTTAATAGAATACTATTATGGTTTATTTGATGGTTCATACTCATGTCTTGATGGATTGTACCTCTCCCTTCATTTCTTTAGTTTAATTTTCGTGCCCTTAGCTTAGTTGTAGTGTAGTTGCCTTAGTTGTTAGATGAGAGGACAATCCATGCTTGTTGTTTGATGTTCCATGCTTACGAATGCAAGTAATGTTATTCTCTAACTATGTGATGTGTTTGGATTGTGAGCTTAAAAGAAGGATTAATGGCTTAATTTGATGTATTATATTATTCACTAGATTGCTTAGACAATATATGTTTAATTAGTCATCCATACTTGTTGAAACAATCAATCACGCACTCTCAAATTGCTACACATATTTCCCCTCATTAATTATGCATTGAATGTCTAGAATGGTGATGCTTAGTGGTGATCTCTAGACCCCAAGACCTCACTCTCTTGGTTTCTCTAAATTTCATCTAAATTGCTTATGTTACATTGAACTTGTTTAGTTTAATTTGTAATCTACTCAACCAAACACACCATCTCTTGATCACTCGACCTACTAACCCTATACATTATTTCCATTACAAGTACGCCTAAAAATCTCTTGGGACGATCCCTACTCACCCTAGCTATATTTTTAGTTAAAGGTAGTAGTGGCATTTATAAATTTAAAACTTGGCCACATTGCACTCACACACTCTTAATGCATGTCTTTTAGACGTTGGTGCGACGACACACCAGAGATAACAGTGGTATCAGTAACATGCACAAAACACAGAAAACATTCAACTACATGTCCATTCTTATCCACGTAGTGCAATACACAGGCCATTTGCTCCTTTGTTGATATATCCCAAGACTTATCAATTAGAAAAAAAAATTAAAAAAATAAAAAAAGAGCATCGCCAATATCTTTGATGATAATATTGATAGTCTCCAATGCAATGACATTAACAATGTCCTTTTGAATCTTAGGCGCCGTTAGCTTGGTATTTTGAGGAGCATTTTTCAAAGTAACCGCTTTAATATCCTCATTATGATTCATAAGAAATTGCAATGTCTCGAGAAAATTCCTTTGGTTGTTTGAATTCTCAGATTCATCACCACTATGAAATGCAAGCCCTAGTTTCAAAATATATCGTACACAATCAATTGATGCAATCAATCGAATGCGATAATCAATTCGTGTCTTATCTGACTGCTTGGATAAAATTATTTGGATATGTTGCTTTTGATTCTTTAAAGCTTCACACATACTCGAAGCTTGGTTGTGGGCACTATTCAGACCTCCAATGTGACGATGCAATCTTTCAATCTTCTTCCAATTTGAAAATCTTTCACCCACAAAGGATGCGCCACCCAATTGTTCTCCAATATTTGGTTTAAGGAGATAGCAACAAAAACAGTATGCCGCATCTTTAGCTATGTTATATTCTAACCAACTAGAATATTTAGCAAACCATTCCGGTTGGAATCATCATAAGTATTTCCCAAATTGCTTTTGAGGAAACTCATGGAATTCAGGTTGGCAAGGGCCCTTTAGTATATATGCTCTGCGAATTTCGGCTCAGACATTAGGATTGCAATCTAATATCTAAGTTCGTAGTCCAGGATCTAAAGGAAGATCCTCAAGGTTAATCTCTACATCACTTTGTTTTGAAAAGTCATTCGTTTAGGCAACTTTCTTGGATAATATTTATCCATTACTGATTCAAAAATGATTTATTTAATTAGCTAATCACAATTTAGGCCTAGTTTGGTGTGATGGAATAGGAGTGGAATGGAATGACCATTCCACTTTCTCATTCCTTTCTCTTGTTTGGTGTGCCATTTTAAAAGTGGAATGGTCATTCCCTTGGAATGCTCATTCCAGCTTTTAGATGGAATGACCATTCCTCTTTTGGACTTGTGGAATGGCTATTCTATTCCCACTAAATTAAAATAATAAAATGCTAAGGACAAAAAAACCATACGTATTCTTCTCTACAACAGATCTGACAGGCTCTCTCTCCATCTCTCCTCTCTCACTATGTCACGGTACACGCGCTCTCTCTCTCTCTCTCTATCCTCTTTCTTTCTTCACGCATAGTATACCATGGAATATATATATATATATATATATATATATATATATATATATAATATGTATATCATATATCCGCTAGTTGGGGAAAAGAAAAGGAAAGAGAGGAATTGAGTAAAGGAAAAAAAAAGATTCTTTTGCCTATACGAAAATCCTTCTTTCTCTCTTTATTTCCAACTATAGATCTTCATATACATATACATAGGGGAAAAGAAAAGGAAATAGAGGAATTTATTTAAGAAAAAAAAAATATTCTATACACAGGGAAAAAGAAAAGGAAATAAAGGAATTTATTTAAGAAAAAAAAAAAAAAAAAAAAAGATTCTGTACACAAGGGAAAAGAAAAGGAAATAGAGGAATTTATTTAAGAAAAAAAAAAAAGATTCTATACACAGGGGAAAAGAAAAAAGACATAGAGGAATTGATTAAAAAAAAAATCTCAAAGTACATTTTGCTCATTCATTTTTTTCTTACCTGGCAGATTTCCCAAACAACCAAACAAGAGCAAGTGAAATTCAAGCAAAGTTTTGAAAAGGGTATAAGTGATTAGAACTCTAATTAAGGTAAATTTCTGTTCTTCATAATAATTTAAAGCCTTTGATTTTATTTATTTATTTCTATTCTTCTAATTGATTTTCAATCTCTCTTTCACTGAATCATGTTCTCTAATATGATGGATTATCAATATTTGATTTGGATGCTTAGTTTTATGCAATTTTATTTATGTATAAAGAAAAGAATTTAGCTAGCACCCTACATATTTGGTTTTTGATAAAATGGGTCTGAGGTTCAATTTTATTTCCACTCTACATTGTTTTGTATTGTTCTACATTGTTCATAACCTAATAAAAATTTTACAAGATAGCATTTTTGTACTTTTTTTATTGATTAAGACTTGGTATCTTTTTTGTGTTTCGTGTATTTTTTTTTTATTGTTGGAGACTTGGTACGTATTTCTTTTGTGTTTTATGTCCTTTTTTAATTACTCGTGTTGTTTATGAAATATTATTATGTTATATGCTATCTTGTGTATAAAGAATTATGTTAGGCGTTATTTTAAAACTTTCTTGTATCGGTGTACTATTTTAAATTAGGGATGGAAAGTGGACCCAATAAAAAATTAGGGATGGAAAGTGGACCCGGTAAAAATAAAAGAAAGTGGACTGACGAAGAAGATATGAAACTTATTGGGGCTCTTCTTGATTTACATAACACTAGAAAGTACAATGCTGATCCTGGTTTTAAAGCCATTTTCAAGCTGTGGAAAAAATACTTGCAAACAATTTACCAAGTTCAGGCTTAAAGGCAGACCCACATATTAAATCAAGAATGAAAACTTTGAAAACTCATTTTGACGTTGTCCATGATATGTTAAATGCTAGTGGATTTGGTTATGATGAAATGAAACAGTGCGTGGTAGCTGAAAAAACAGTATGGGATGCTTACTTACAGGTATTTTTTTATACATTACTTTATTTAGATAAATCCTTTTACATTATGACGTGCTCAATAATTATTTTTCTATGTTAATTTGCAAAGTCATAAGAATGCTGTAAAATTCAAAGATAAGTATTTTCCATACTACAAGGAGTTGTGCATAATATTTGGAAAGGATCGTGCTAACGGTAAGGAAGCTGCAACACCAAATGATGTTTTAGAAGCACTGGAAGATGAAGAACTTGATAAGGAGAAAGAGGCTGATAATGATGATGTTGAAAACCCTTTAGATGATATACTTATACCACTAATAGTTGGTAATACTAGTAAAACATGTTCTAAAAAGAAAAGAAAGAAGAAAAGCCAAAGTGGTGAAGAAATGATATTAGAAATGGTAAAGAGTTCATCAAGTTTCATTGGCTCTAAGATGGATTCATCTAGTGAACGCATTAGTAGAGCAATTGAAGATGCATCAGTGAAAGATATGAAACTCAAGCTAAATGAAGAACTGAAGAAATTATCCGGTTTTAGCATGGTTGAGCGACATAGAGCAACTGCTAAACTTGCTCGTGATCATGACTTGTTGGATATTTTTTTTACAATTGAAGATGAGGAGAAGGAAGCATGGGTTAAAGAAGTAGTTCTTTAAATGCTAGTTAAAATTTTGAATATGGTTTTTGGATGAACAAGTAGTAACTATGGTTTTTGGATATCTATATAACTCTTATTAAGTTTACTTTTGAATATGATTTGGATGAACTATGTAGTATGGTGTCTTGGTTTGATTATTTCTATTTTCTTGATAAGAATGTGATGCAAATGTGTAAATTCAAGTAGTAGTAATTCTTTTATTAGATCATTTTTAACAAATATTTGTTACATCTTTGATACTATGGCAGAGCTGATACATTTGTTTGGCATTTTATAAAATATATAAAAAAAAATTTAAAAAAAAAATTACACATTATAAGATAATTGTGTGTGTATATATATATATATTTGCATTTTATAGAAATACATTAATTGGTATAAGCTAGTTTTATTATATAATAAGAATATGTCATTCTATTTTAATATAACTGATATATTACAAGTAAGGGTATTTTGGAGAAACCAATTTATAAATCATTCCATTCTAGTTTTTTATTTGATCTAACCAAACATAGGAATGAGAATGGTTATTCCATTCTCTGTTTGTATCCAAACAATGGAATGAGAATGATCATTGCATTCCCACATCATTCCCATTCCATTCCCACTTGCATTCCATTCCTGCCTTATTCCATTCCATCACACCAAACTTGGCCTTAGGGTTTATGCAACTAACTAATAACTATCAGCCACAACAACATAATTGAGTTGAATACACAACAGTGCGCTAGTGTTGTGCATTGTGCATAAATCATAGTCATAATTGTGCGTCTGTGCAGTGTCATCAGATTCATCACGATAACATAATTGTGCGCATGTGCAGTGTGCTGCGTGCATAAGTTAATTAATGAATAACAATCACAACAACAACATAATTGTGCAATTTGTGCGCCTGTGCACTGTCCATATTTTATAATATTAGGGGGAAAAAAAATCAATCTAGAAAAAATGATTCAATCATTCAAGGATAAACAATAAATTCAATAATAAATAGAGTTCTGAGTTTTGAGTCTGTATATCATGGTGTGACTGGCGTCACCGTGAGTCAAGTCTACTCAGCCTGCTCCTGATGCTTCTTTTCAATAGAGCTCCGATTTTCTCAACCCCACTTCTAGTTTTCAGTTTCTTGGATATATAATTCAGTTTCTGATTTCTCTCAATGGAATAGTTTGCAGATCTAATTTAGCTAGTTCTCAAAAAGTCAAAAGGTATTTGCCATTTGCTCCTTCGCCCTTTTTGGCTTTGTTTTTAATACATCTATGTGTGTGTTTGCAGATCTAATTTTGCTAGGGTTCTAAAAAAGTTAAGTCAAAAGACATGTGAGAAGAGGGAGAAGGCAACGATGTTTTTTTGTTTTAAATCCAGGGGGCAAGTATTAAATTAACAACTAAATAATTTAACTTATTATATAAAAATAATAATAATAAAAAAATTAATACTTAACACCCCCCCCCCCCCCCCCCACTTCTTGTTAAGTCCATCCCTGGTTTCAAATCCTCTGTTTCATTCAAACCCTAAGCGACATGCACACACACATGCACACACAGAGATAGAGATAGTATATATGTATATATACATATATTTACATATATTTATAATATATACACATAGAGAGATAGAGAGAGGAAGATAGAAAGATAAGGTCAGCAATAATATATTTTTTTTTTTTTAATTGAAGAGAAAGTCGCGAAGAAGAAGATGAATAGTAGTGTATAGACAGATAGGAAAAGGGTTGTGTTTGGGTGTATCAGTTGGTTAAGATTGTGTTTGGATGTATCAGTTGGTTAAGGTTGTGTTTGGGTGTAATGGCATAACAAGGGGTAATAGAGTCATTTCATGTTTATAAAGGTATTATTGTTATTAAATATATATTGTGTGTCACATGATCATTTTAACGGCGAGAATCAACCGGCATGTTGCCGGATGGGATCATCTGTAACTTTTTTGCATAGTTCAGGGGGTTTCTTACATTTTTTGTAGTTCAGAGGGTTAGTTGCAAGTTTCCCCACAGTTCAAGGGGTTTTTTTTGCATTTTACCCTAATATTTATTAATGTTCAAATAAAGTATGAAGAAAAAAAAAAAATGGAAAAGAGAAGTGAGAAAGAAAAAAAAAAAAAAAAATTAAAATGAAACAAACCACATATTTGGCCCCTAAGCCGCCTACAGTGGAGGAAATTTCAAGGAAGCTCTATCTTCTTCTATTGCTTGGCTTGTTTCAAAGAAATTTAAGCTTGTTTAACATTATTTATGTTTGATGAAATGCAAAATAATTAATTAATTTTATTATTATTATGTAGATATTTATTTAAATAAACTAAATATCATTTATATTCAAAGATCTATAATTTAGTGGTACCTCATTTCCTTCTAAAATTAAAAAAAAAAAAATGAAGAGTTTGAATCTCCTCAAAAGAATTCTTTGTTAGGATAAAAAATAATAATAAATACACTCGTGGCCCTCTTAACCGCATTTCATATTGTGGACTATCTTGTGTTTATATGTAATTACCTTATTGTCTTGGTTGGATTTTCATATTCTTTGCGCTTCCCAACATATTTCGTACAAAGAACATAGTAAAATTGCGTATTTTTCAAGTATGTACATATAATTGTAAAATAAAAAGAAGAAAACTTCAATCTTCTGTACAAACTTTCAACTTAACAAATAATACTCATTTTTTTTAAATTAAAAAAAAGAAAAAAGAATCGTGTAATACACATATTAGATGTTTTATGTTTTTAGGTTATGAAATATACTTTATAATCATTTTATTACAAGTAAAAGTAAATTTTTAAATAGTTTGCAATTATAATAAGATAATCGGTAATTCACCTAGCCATTCCATTTTCTTGTTAACAGGAAAATTAAAAATGGCTTTCAAACAAAAGTTAAAATAACTTATTCAAATATTTTTAAATAAAAGTTATCTTAAAGAATAAATCAAAACTTTTTGGAGAGAAAATTAAAATTGACTACAAGTATTCAACAAATTGGAAATGTACAATTACAAATTATAAAGGGTATAATCTGAAGTTTGAGGGATTTTTAACTTGTATTTAAACATTTATAAAACAAACTATATATGTAGAAATTTGTCTTATTAAAAGAAAATATAAACTTTTATTTGATTTTAAAGTTATTCTCTAATTACTTACTATATTAATCTCTATAGTTCATATCTTTGAACTAATTTATTGGCATAACAGTATATGGTTTCAACTTGATCCCCTTGTGTATAATTATTATAATAATAAATAAATAAAATGAAATAAAAACCCTTTTAACTTACCATCTTTTGAGTTGATCAAAAGTGAGATGGGCGTCTTGGTTTGATTTTCACAAGCTACAAAAATATTTGAGTTTAAATTATATGTGTAATTTGCGAGTATTGCACATATATAAAGTTTATCTTTCCACTCGCTTTTCAAACTTCAATTATTTGTAATAAAATATTCTCAAAATACTTATTCTAGTAATAACATAATAATTCCGTTTGGAAGTATTGAATCAATGCCTTAAAATATAAATTGAAGAAAATTTAGTTTGAACACAAACTAAATCCTCAATTCTAATATGCTTATTTGATAGTCCCAAACATAGCTTATATGTATTTAAGCAAGATTTGAGAGGAAAAATGGTAAAAATAAATAAATACGTAATAAAATAAAAATAAAAGGGCTTGGACCCAGACTCAGTCAGTAAGCTGAAGGGCCGAGCCAAGACATGGGTTTGAATGACTGGACTTAAGCTAAACGGTAAGTCAAGTGGATGGGATGGATGGGACGTAATTGAGCTCAGGCTTTAAAACTGCACTGGATAAATAGGCTCGTCAAGCCACCGAAAAAAGCCCAACCATTTTCTTTGTCTAGACCCACCCGTCTTGTAATAGTATGCCAGGAAGAAAGTGTAGTTACAATTACAGTTTACAATATCGAGATTTTGACCTATACGACTTATCACCATGTGCCATCCAAAAATTATTAATTACAACGGTTGCTTCAAATACTGTTCTAAAATAAAATAGTTGAATTCATCACAATTTATTAAGTTTTTGAGAGACCATTTAGTAGAATTTTTGTATTAATTGGTTATACCCCTTTACAACCATTGTAATCAGTATTTTCTCATACCTAACATGCACGTGCGCGCGCACACATATATATATATATATGTGTGTGTGTGTTGTATATTAGGTATATATACGTAGGAGTGTTACCTTGGGTCATTCATTAAGCAAATGAACTTAATTTGAGTTTAATTTTTACTCAATTTGTGTAGAATCGTGAACACGAGCTCATTCATAATCATATACATTCATAAATACAAACTCAATCATACGTGTGTTCATGAACATAAACTTGTACATTTTGTGAACATAAGTTTATCAACTATATATATATATATATATATATATTTTGTTACTAGTATGCCTCGTGCTTTTATAAAAAAAAAAATTCAAATTTATCTTACTTAATTTTAAAATATATATATCAAACAAAATTGGCTCTTTAGTTGATGAATATTTTATTCATTATTTTAGAAATTAATTATTTTATAAGTTGACTCGTTTAATTTGAACTAGTTGCTTTTAGATAAGAGTAATTTGTTCTTAATAAAACTTTTAGACATTTTTTTTTAATATTTTGTAAAAATTTAAATATTAATACATCTTTCAATTAATTGATTAAAGTATAGAGCTCGATAAGGGAACTCTCTTGTGAGCATTACTCTAGTCTTTAAATAATATTCACTTAATTATCAAAATGCTAAATCCAATTTTTTTTTTCTATCTTTTCATCACCTTTAGTCGAGTCTAGCTTATAAACAAGTAAGTCAATTCAGAACGAAAAATTATTCATTGCAATCATTGCATCATGATGCAGTGTAATTGACAATTACAAATATTCCATCAAATTACATATAATAATTTTTTTAATTATATTATAGATTCCCTTTACTTTGATGAAATTTGTATCAATGGTTACCACGGCATGCC